TTAAGGTGATATTGACAGCCTGTTCAAAATCGGGCCCAACACTTGCAACAAAGATTTTCTTGAGAAAGTACAATAAAAGGGGATCACCTTGCTGGACCACTTTTCCTTTAATACAGTGACATTATATAGTGGAATGAATGCAGATTTAAACACTAGTCTAAAGTGTGAATGAACACTTTCCGTGTGATGGGATGTTTTAGTGTGTTTTGCTCATCTGCATAATCTGGAACAAAGGTATTTCTGTTTGATGGGACCATGTTGAGTGTTTTGAAAATAGTAACTCATAATAGAGATTCATAATAACTGAAACTCTGTTGATATCTAGCTGTGTAAAGACCAGAACTGACTATTGTCCATCGATTATCAGCAATCAGAAGACTATTGCCTATGTTCCAGCTGTGGCATTGAAGACACAAGTTGTGAATGTACCTAGATGTACCATGATACCATACCAGAGCTGCTTATCCAAGGCGCAGTCTATGGGAATGAACTTGACTGAGCATGTACTGTCACTCTTATACAAGGAAAATGTGAAGGTCGGTGATCCTATTGCCTGGTCACTGTAGCATGCTTCCCTTCAACCTTCTCTGGATGATCCACCATCGTTCTTTTATGGCAAAGCTGCCACACCAGCCATGCTTAAGTATGGGATGAATGTGATTAGACAGGCTACAGAGTTTATTACCCTGGGTAGATTCCTGTTACTTGCCTTGACCAGCCTTTGTTTGGCCTTTCGAAGTATAGCGGAAATGGCGAAACACTCACAGAGACCAAGTGCATGTTGTCATGTTGGTAGGACTGCACACTGAAATGTCTCTTTGGAAGACAATCGGAAACCGATTAAATGGACCCAGCTGGACAACAGCTCTGATAGAAGGAGATATAGTGCAGATTCATTCCTGAATGCATCACATCTGACCATGACCAGATACTACCACCAAGTTACTCCCTTGGCCCTTCACAACCTGCAGAATGAAGCTTTCCTTCTTTCAGGAAGATCCAGTGATGATCGTACTCTGCAATCCCGAAAAGACGAGAAGTATTGGAACATCATCATGCAACTGGAACCCGCGTTCTTGTCCATCCTGGCTCATAGAGAATAAAATTCCAATTATAGGTGAAAGTCTTGGGACAGTTGACATCTTTGTTCTTTGCCCTCGACCACACCCATTATGCACGATGGACACCCATTCACATAAGAGACATGAAATCCTTACAAGCACCAGTCAGAGAAGAGTTTGAGAAGAATTACCAATCTCCAAAACGAAATCCATTTTCTTCTATACCATTGGATCAGACTCATGAGCAGGAGAACAAGCAACTCAAGGATCCAGGTGGTGCAATTTGATTAACAGAAAACTCAATTGTTTTCAGATGCTGAATGCTGTCAGGGACTGAGCTAGGTAGATTAGTCAAACAGTTTGAAAATGAGAATATCCTTCATGATGATCCAGAAAGGAACTTCCATCATCACGAGCAAGGGCCTTCCGCACAGCAAACATTTCGAAAGGTGGCCAAGAGCCTTTGAGATACGATCGGACAAATGAGAAATCCTTTCTTGGATGTTTTGGCGACCTTATTACTCTTGATAGCCAAAACTGCATGCCAGAACCAGGTGTTACCACAGTAAACACACTGAAGGGTGTTGGAAAGAAGCAACCTAATACATTTCGCAAAAGGGTGATTTTAGATGGGACGTACCCAGTCTATTCATTAACCTCTCAAGAGACATTCTCTGCCACTGTTCAGCTTTCCACCCAGCAAGTCATCTTCTAAATAAGGACTGTGAGAGTGAATTAATGGAATTCTTTGCTCATGAGATCCAGGCATTCCCTCCTTCTCTCTGATTTTGGCTAATTGTGGTTGGTTACCCAGTGCAAAGTCTGACCGTTTTGTATGCTTTGAAAAGTTAAATCAACACGAACCACAGCTTCTGACTTGAAAGCTCTGGGTGGATCAGTTCTTGTCCATACCTTGCCTACTACAGAAATTCGCACATTTGATTACTTTGGTGACAGTGTTTTCATTCCATATCTCATGGGTCAGCTTCAGCATGCAAGTAGCCTTGGAATTCTGTGGGATGCCAGTCAAGTGGATGGATGACCTGTGTGCTTCTCAGGATAGAGAATAATTATTTCAGTTCTTTACTTCAAATGTTGCAGAATAACCATGGCCAGAAGCCAAAGCTGTCTATGAACATCAGGAGCAGCTGTGACATTCAAGGGCAGCGAATCTCTCACCTTCATGACAAATTGTAATCACGAGGAAGCAGACACAAGGATTGTCATTCATTCTGGGCATGGTGCGACTTCACTGTAAATGCGTACAATGGATACAGATGTTTTGTTCATCCTTACTGGAATATTTCATGACCTGATTACACTATAATCCTACGCAGGTATATGGGTTGCCTTTGGAATGGGAAAGACCTTTGGCTACTTTCACATCAATAAAATGTGTTCTTTAGGGAGAACTACACCTCGTGCTCTACCAGTGTTTCATGCCTTTTGTTGGGAAAAAGTAAAAAGTTATTCTGGCAAGCTTTGTGGGTTCTAGATGAAGTCATGGAAACCTTTGTGCAACTAGCCCACCATTCATTTCAAGTGCTGAACATAGATTCTGGTCACTTCCAAATGCTTCAGCGTTTTACTGTTGTCATATTCGAGAAGACATGTCCTCTGCAATAAGCTGAGAATGGATATCTTCTCCAACAAAATTCTACCGATGGACAAGCTTCTTCCAACTTAAGAAGCCTTGCTACACGATACAATTTCCATCCCCTGAAGGTTTTGGGTGGACCAAAGTTGGCACAACATGAAAACCAGTTTGGATGGATGGAACTCACACAATGTACATGCAAACCTAAATAATTAAGTTTTAATATTGTATTGTAAAAAATTAAGCCACGCCCACCGAATCAGACTACTTGTATTAATACGGAATGTCAGGGAATCCCTATATTACAGTCGATGGAATTCCCTTTCTGCTCACGTGTATCGTCATGCACATGACATTCAGCAAAATCCATGCATGTGCATTGTCAAAACTACCCTTTGAGACCGAAGGCCGAGAAGGAATGAAACAGCAAACGTGCAGGCTAGCTCGCCTGGGTTCCACAAATCCCATGTCTTCGGGATTCATTTCACACCCCATTTTTCCAACTTCCCATTCTCAGGGAACTAATGTTTGAATCTGGCGGTAACTGACCATGTCATTTGAAACAGCCGCCTTTCGTTACAGTCTGACTGCTGCAGTTCTTCTTGCCCTGATTGACATGCCCTATGGGCATTGTTTTGATCTCACTCTCCGTTGATTGGCTACTGACTTTGTGGGTGTGTGAAAAATTATGTGCACAAATTAAACAATCACCTACTTCATCTCACGCTACAGTATGAATTCCTACACCTACAGTATGAATTCCTACACCTAGAATTTTTATCAATCGCGTCATTTTCGTCTGCTTTGATATAATGCATCTCAAAAGAAACTGTTTTTGGTTAAACTATTCACATGTGCGTTGTCGAATTTAATCATTATTCCTGCATCCTGCAAACTGTGAATGAAGTCATACCTCAATGAACCGAAACAAATCCACAGTAAATCCTTAAATGCATTACTTTTAAATACTTTCGGGCTTATTTGGATTGCATACCACTTTGCAGATGCAAATGTTCTGAAATGTAGTCATAAACTTGTGCTTCCTTAAAGGGCAAGTTCACACGAAAATAAACCTATTTTTCTTGTACTTTTTCATCATGAAAAGTATTTACCTGGTAGTTTCGGAGGCAAAACAATTTACAGCACATTTATACATGAAAAAAATCAAGTTACCATTTTATATTTTGTGATAGTGAGATATAGATGACAAAAGTGTTATGTTTCTATGTTGTATCTTTCAAATATGAAGTTTCGAGCCAAGCCATGCCAGACACCGATGCCCAGAAAGTACAGGTCCCCAGTCCATCATGGTGTAAAGAAGCTGTCCAATGTACACCAGAAGCATGGCACACCGTGCTTCACAGTATGAGGTACAAAATAATATTTTGACAATGAATAATCACACAATGTAAATACTATATGCAAATAATTTCTGTATTGAACTATTTTGTGTATCTATTATATTCTATTTTGTTGTCTTTTGTTGTAAAAGTGTAGTGTGGATGACAAATGAACGTATACTGTGAATGACATAAAAAAGTTTAGATCTGATACATTTTGTACACAGTTAACTGATGATTTTTGTATTCAGGCACCCAGTGACATGCCTGACACTGCAGCAGATTATTACCACCTTCTTTTACAATTATTTAGTCAGTGTACATATTATTTGGACAAATCTATGTTAAAATTATTTTTTATATTTTTCAGGTCCCACAATGATATGGAAGAGTATAAATGCGACAAAACCCTTTCCATATTCATATGAAATCTCTGTAAAAAACAGTTGATGGTACGATTCTGTCTAAATCATGAGCACGTGTTAATGAATCGCTATCAAATAGTGATAATACCAGGTGTTCGCAAAAGGTGAGAGTATCCTGCCCCAACGGTGTCACAAGAAATCCCTGGTGTTGAGATCCATTTTCATTGTGTGCAAATTGTGATTATTTTCATGCAGAGTTACAAGTCATAAAATATTAGAGCATCTTGTGAGGTACAGTGCTTCAGACAACAAGAGAGCTGTACTTTTGAAATAGTCAACCAGTGCACTAACAAGTTGCCACTGAGCATTAAGCCAGTGCTTGTGATATTTTCTTCAGTCTTTTCCCCGGCCTTCGCCCTTGCCCAAAACTACCTGATCCAGCATCAGCCATCCTGTATTACAGAAACTTATCAAATGAAACAGCAAAGGCTGATTGTTGTCAGAGACCATAAAACAAGATTTCAATTAAAAAAGTTTATTTTAATGAGCATAGAGAAAAACATTACATACATCAGATGGAAATCTTTCATGAATCACCTCGACAACACAAGATGGAATAACTTTTCTCTGATTCTTCAACTATTTCTGCAAATCCCCAAAGTGAACCTCTTGTTTAGGAGGTGTAGATAGATTCTGAAATGAAAAAGTGTCTTTTATTAGTCAAGCTATGCACAACATTACAAAAAAATATCATACCATTTACATATATATTTTTGTCATTAAATCTGGAGGGATGCTTATATAAGAAGTAACTTGTATTAATGATATATGCATAATTTTTATTACATATTAATAATTCAATAAATACCAAAACAGTTTATAGTTCTATCATGTTGACATGATGTGTTTATTACTGTAGGTTTGAATACTTCTTGAAATATTGTGGGCATGTTTCAATATCACTGATGTAATTTAATAACCTTACAAGTTACATATGCTTTCACAACTTGCTGGCAAATAAACATTTATGGTACTCGAATCTCTTATTTTACTTGTCAGATTTGTTTGTTGTGCATGATAGATCTTAAAATGCATAATAAAATAAATTGATGACAGTAAATCATATTGTATGTTTTCTCAACTTTATTTCAGGTGTTAATATAAAAAAAAGGATGGTGGGGTAGCCTTGTGGTGAAAGCGTTCGATCGTCACACTGAAGACCAAAGTTCGATTGCCCACATGGGCACAACATGTGAAGCCCTTTTCTGGTGTCCCCCAGTTGTGATATTGCTGGAATATTGCTAAAAGCGGGGTAAAACCCTACTCACTCACTCATATAATAAAATGATTGCATATTTCATTTGCATTTTAGTAGGTGGTTGTTACACACGTTTTGCTCAAAAGGTCAGGTTGGGAGGCCCAAATTTCCAAACAAATATTTACAATTTCAAATATTTTTCACTAATATTCAACAAGTTTTACTTATAGTTTCTTAGATAATTTATATCTATTGATTGTGACAGTAAATGAGCTTTTTGTAAACATTTTACATATATCTGGTCCACTCAGTTAAACAACCCACTGTTTTTAATAATTAATTAGAATCTATATATTAGATATTTCTTCTTTTTTATAGTTTCTAAACATTTTTTAAAATCTGGCCCCATAATAGATGATAAATAGTTTCCCTGCAAAGTTGCAATGCATTTTCTATGAATGGTTGTCAGAACAAACCAATAACCAATTATCTATTAAATAGAATAAGATACTGTAGGCCTAGGCTACTGCAGCTGAATTAGGTGATATGGGTCTTCTCTTGTTTCCATTTTATTTTCATCGTTTCCATACCGCGAAGCTTGCTTGTTTTGGTTCAAAATCGTATGGTTTTGCGATTTCTTGAAGGGTCAAGGGAACTTCTTCGGACCAGGCAAGGTATCGGATGCCATGTTGTCTCACCATAAACTGGTACTTGATATCTTTTGCGTTGTGACAAGACAGGGACCCAGTTAAATTGGCACCAATTACGTCATAATCTAAGGGGGATAACTCAGGCCTGTTTAGCTCGGAAAACGAAGGCCTCATAAAGGCATGACATTTTCACACTTATTGTGAGCTCGCTACATTGACTGCGAGAAAAATGAATGTATATTTTCAAACACTGATACTAACTAATTCTAAAATTCCGTTTTGTTTAAAATAAGAAAGAAAGTGATTTTTGCGTGTACAAATGTATGACATCGTCTGTCTCCATTAGTTTTAATTTTATTTGGTCTTTTTTACATTTTCTTTTTCCTCCTTTCATGAATGTGAATCATAATCCCATTATGAGTCAGAGTATGACAGGACCTTTTATTTGATATATAACATGTCACAATTGTGAGTAAGATTAAAGTCTTCATTAATCTTTACATTGCCGGGAAAGTGATTTGGCAGCCATTTTGGATTGTAGTGGCTACTGGAAGTTACAGATATATTTTAAGGTGGTTCCTACCACAAAACTATTCAGTATGGGTGGCTGTATCAGTGTGTCAAATTTGATGCTTTTATCCACCTTGTAACCAAACCTTGGTTAAGCCCCTTGATTAATAAGCATTCACCGCTCTAGCCATCAGTTTGGTGAGGGCTCTTTTTTTTAGACATGTTGGTCATGTGACTCTACCAGCTTGACACTCGCTTCCGCTGTGTTGCATCTGTCTGATTTAAGTGTAATGACATATCCGGTTGAAACTAAAAGATCTCATTGAAGATAAATGTTCAGAGGATATTATATTGACGAAATATACAGTTTTAAATGGCGGAAATAATACTGACCTTATGAATCACATTATATTTGCTGGTAAAAAATATATTCATGTATCAAGTATTTAGAAAAGTTAGTTTTATTAAGATATTATGTGGTATATTCAAGACAGAAATATGTATTGCCAATAGAAATCATTGTACTTAAATTGTGTGTAGGTGTATAAACTCAGTAGTGTTCATTCATATGATACTCAATACATATTGACATAGCCAGAAGTCTACAGTGAGACGTGTACAACTGAAACAGCTAATTCTCTATGTATACAGTGTTATTTTGCTTGGCATTAAAAATGTTCAGGTATATGTTTTTCAATTGACGAGTATGCATCTAATTTTGTTTCAATAGACATTCAAGTGAGAACTATTTGCATAATTTTGTTTTTGTTGTAATGCAAAATATTCCCTGAATATGCTTAAACATATACCTATGAATTAAGCTGTGTTTTCTCAGTTAGAGCAAATCCCTGCTTTAGTTGCAAGATATGTAAAAATTGTTCACAGTGTGTACTGTGTCATATAAAGCTTTACATCTGACAAAAAAAAAGAAAAAAAGAAAGAAGAATGGTTGTCATAACACTGTGTCACTCCTGCCCAGGACACCACACCTCATGCTAAGGACACACAAAGACATATCAAAGAATACACATAGCATCAACTGCTTCTCCTACGGGGACTCTCGGTATTTCGTCAGAGTTATCACTATGTTATATTGTCGTGTATACAGTTAGATTTAAACTCAATTCCTTTGAGCCAAAATATACTTCCGAAATGCTCAGATACGCAAGTTTCGTTCCATGTTTTGTATTACCCGCCGTTCCCTCTTTTAGGCAATCCCGCATTCGATTTATAGTCGGCCTTTTGTGACCAAATCTGAGATGGTCAGTTTAACTTTCCTTTCACATGATTATGAGTTTGTTTTGGAAACGGCAACTCATTTTGTAGGATAACAAGGCTGTAGTTCTTCAGGGTAGACTGGCTTTTTCGTTTGTTTATTTTGAATGCCGACGTCAGTGAAGGGTGTCCCTTTTATAGTGTTGAGTTGTTCGCACAACACCGGGTGTTATAAACAAGATCGAGCATGACTCAATGCCGTTACCCAGCCTGGATTTTTTTTAATAGAAAACACTTTTATTTGAATCATGAAAATACAGGTTGGGGACAAGTGATACTTGTACAAATATTTGCATCCCCTTTGTTGTCCTGTTTGCAAGGCGTGTGGTTCGACGTTTTATCACCGTGCACAAATCGTCAATGATCACCTCCAGCAGCAGAACATGCATAGAATGCCATGGCCAGTAATGAGCCCAGACCTTTCCCCCATTGAACACGTGTGAGTCAACGTCATAGTCCTCCAACCACGTTGGTCAGGCGCTGCAATAGGAGTGGGACAGACTCCATCAAATCGTTATTGGGAGACTCATACATACGCACTATGCCTGGTCGAGTGAATGCATGTTTGACAAATCGTGGCAGTATTATTTACTACTGATCCAAAAACATCATTTTGAAATTTCCCATCTTACCTCAATAACAACTGGTCATACTTCATTACCTGCTGTAATGTGTTCCCAATTCGTTCATTATTGTCATACAACTTTTACTAGAAACTAATATTTCTTACATTTTTGGACATTTTAAGTTTTTCTAGAAAACTATGATCTTCATATTGTAGACAATATAATAAAACATGCCTTTCATATACTATAATTTCATCCGTACATAACGGTCAGGTTCTCTCTGCAACTCTAAGAGGTGCTACACCACATATAGAACTTGAAAGGGCCTTTCTTTGAGTTCTAGCAAGGCTTTTGTTTGTTCTTTAACGCTGCACTCGGCAGTACTCCAGCTAGGTTTTGCAGAGCATGTGTACCGTCAAATTGGCGTCCACAGATATTTTTTTCCAAATATTTTCATGTTTTTTTTTATATTAAAGTGCAATTGATTCGATGCACTTCGCGAGAAAAGAACTCTTTTATAATGAGCTTGATTATCCATCAGATAGCCTGGACGCCATTTTGTTTGAACAAATGCATAATGCACCTGCTGACAGTGATATGAGAGGTGGTACCTGATTGGGCAATAGGAGGGACATAGAAGAGACATAATTCGCCACTGGTGGCGCTACGATCGAGCCTAGAAATTCCAGCCTAGTTCGGCAAGTGTGGCAACTGGACCTTTACAGACAGTTTACACCCTCAATTCGGGAAGATGAGTTTATAAGAAAGCAATTTGTCTTGACATGAAAAAGAAAAGTACTCGCCCCGTAAACACAGGTCATGACAAGAAGAGACAGGAGCTATAATAATCCTATATCTTGTTTGTTTTGAGGGCCCAAACCTAAACCAATTGTAAACAAGCTGAGGCCAATATCTCTATTTTCAGTCAAAATTTCATGAAGTATCAAACTGACGATAAAAAATAAAATCGAGATATATTAATTTGAAAATCCAGTTACGTGGAATGCTGTTGTGCGTCAGAGGGATTTCCGCATGACCTACATTGTTTATCACAGGAATTCGTGCAGCGCGTGACATTGATTGGAGTGTGACAATTGTCACGAGTTCTCAGCACGAACTAATCCAATATTGTGTGACAATTATTATTCTCACAAGTTTTGTAATCAGATACTCCACAGTAAACAAAATAGTAGATTAACATATAGTCTATGTAAAATCTTTTATTACACAATAACATTTCTCTCCTCTTAGATTAAAACAAATAACCTTCCTGATGCTGATTTCATGGAGCTGGCTAGACTTACTTTTATTTATATCTAGAATGGTTTTGTTTTCAGAAAATACATACATTCCGACAGTCATGGTGCAGCACTAACGAAATAGCAGCCATACAGCTTATGAACTGGCGGGACCATATAAATCACTGAAGCTACATATAACACACACACGAGCAACAGGTTTATTGCCAAGTAATCATTGTTCGCCTAAACCACAAACTCGTCATGCAAGCAGGCACTATATGAGCTGGGCGAACTTCGCTGAGTGGTATACAAACGTAAGAACTGACTATAGTATTCACTGCTCAGATAACGTGTTGGCTGGTTCAACAGCTGATCGCAAGCCGAACAGACATTGGAGAGCCACGTTCTGTGCCTGCTTTATCAGAACTAACAGACACATGTCCACAGGAATACCAGTGATGCAGACGACACTGGCTAGCTCGCCGTGGACACTGACGGTTCGTGTTTCCCCCCTCTCTTGCCCCAGTACTGGTATTTAATATAGATATAATAGAAATTGCTCCGTTACGTTGTTAAATGAATATTATTTAGATGTCAACATTTGTATCTTCTGACCAAAGTCAACACGGCTGGCTACGTCGTATTTATCAGTCTTATGGCGAGCACCTGGTGGAGGGCAATGGCGGTACAGTCGGTTGCTTCTGATCGATAGGGAACCCCATCGCTCATCATTAGCATCTCTGCTGCGGGCGAATTGTGTTGCCCAATCCACGGCCTTCTCGTCAGTTCTATTTAGGGACTGCAGCACATTTCAGTAATGTCAGGTATGTGTTCAAGACTATTTCATAGACTCCTGAATTTATTCTGAACATACTATAAGCTCTATCTTATGTCAATGTAGGCGCTGGCGTAGCCTTGTGGTTATAACCGTTCGCTCGCCTCCCAGAAGCCCGGGGCGGAAATGAAATGTGAACCCAATATATCATACATTGTGCGAGCTTAGCCTCTATTTTGTAACTGATATCTTTTCCCGTAAATACCAAGCCCCGTTCTCAAATGCGAGCTAAAAACAGTAAATACAATCTGCTAGCAGATGACATATTCACTCTCTAGTCTCTGTCAACTGGATAAATAGGTTTCTAATAAAACAACTGTGTTTTTGTAATTTTATTAGTTTTTCAGGTTACGAAATATATTCACTGAATATTAATGCTTTTCACATGGGTAATAAAGTTTATTTATTTCATGATGAGGACCATCTTTGATAAATTTTCCCAACTTTATGCATACCTGACAGGGACTACATGGACTACCATAATGATACGATGTCTTACATTTCTTCTTAGGAGGAATACCATTATTCCTTCTTTTGTTTCTATTTTTTTCTGACTTTTTCGATGGCATAAATGCACATATATTCACAAGATGCAAAATTCTATGAGCGTTTAAAGTTCTACATAATATTAATGCATACACAAGCCTAATTGGTACAAATGTACTCTTGATATTTTCCACTTGAAAATTCGTTAGTTTTAGAGGTATCAGAATTCCAATATGTTCATACCTTTCTTGACAAATTTCCAGTTAATTGTTTTATAGGCATAACTTAGAAGTTGACGGATGACATAGTAGACACAATTTATGGATAAGGGTTACTATTCCTAATTAAAACTAACAAACCAACACATATTTGAGATGTAAGTTCTGGTTTATTTAAGCGCAAATGTCTGTTCAGTGTGAAAACACTGACAAACTGTGTCCACACAGAGGTGACTATATGCTTGTCGTAAGAGGCAACTAACGGGATCGGGTGGTCAGGCTCGCTGACTTGGTTGATGCATGTCATCGATCCGAATTGCGTGGATCGATGCTCATGTTGTCAATCACTAGATTGTCTGGTCCAGACTCGATTACTTACAGACCGCCGTCATATAACTGGAATATTGCTGAGTGCGGCGTTAAACAACAAACAAAGACAAAGTGTCTAGAAAGAACCAAATGTCAAACACCACAACCTGTAAATCATCAGTTTAGACCCCTGACACACAAATTAGACCCTCAATGACATATCAGTCAGCACAAATTTAAACAAGCGGTGTTAAACTGCCCTAACGTAACATATCAGTAAGATACCAGATTTATTTATGTTTCTGGCCGCTCTGTGTGGGACCTCTTGGTCACTTCGAGGGGGAAATTGGGGACTGTCTTTTATCCAATTACAAACATGTTAACAGTTGTAGCTCCTCCTATTTTAAGTTGGATATAGTAAGCTTAGTGATAAGTGATTGCAGGAAACATAGGAATTGGCCCCTCCTCCCCTTAAGATAGATGGAACCCATATCTTTGTTAATGACTTCTACCCTGTGAGAGAATATATTTTGAGGTCACGTGACTTCAATAATAGGTCTTCAGCAACCCATGCTTGCCGTAAAAGGTGACTATGCTTGTCGTAAAAGGCGACTAACGGGATCGGGTGGTCAGGCTCGCTGACTTGGTTGATGCATGTCATCGATCCGAATTTCGTGGATCGATGCTCATGATATTGATCACTGGATTGTCTGTTCCAGACTCGATTATTTACAGACAGCCGTCATATAGCTGGAATATTGCTGAGTGCGGTATTAAACAAGAAACCAACCAACCAATCAATAAACATGTTCTCACAGCCTGTACAATGTTGTTGTAGGCAGAGCACGCACACTGATATGCTACTTAATCGCCTTATCTATCATCCACAAGTCACGTTAAAATGTAGGTCACATTGTCTGTAAATTCACCCATTGACTTTAGAAAAGAAATGCGCAATTAACGTTACAGAAATAATGTTTTACTGAAAATTGGGTTTCAATACTCTCTTACCATGTCATGAATGTGTACTTTTTTTTACATTGCAGTACTTCGTTGTATTGTAAATTATTATTTTATTGATTTTTATCTCTCATACAGGCCAAAGGCCAAAATGTAAGTACATAATAACTGTACATGAACATGTGTACGAACAACAGACAGCCATCTGGGCAGTTCTATATATGATACATCAATTGTGCTAACTTGTAAACAATTTCTTGAGATTCATCCTGCATAAGTTTAATAAATTTCAACATGTTTGGACACTTGTACATACCAACAGGTATCCCCCTGGTGTTCCCCGCCGTGATGTTGCTGGAATATTGCTTAAAGTGGCGTAAAAAACATACTCACTCACACACTCACTATCATGCTTCCAACAAAAACGCAAACATCCAAATTGTGCGTCGTGCATTAACATACGCCCTTAAAGTCGAGGACATGCCTTCATGGGTATGTACATTGTATTGAAATGTAATGAAGTGCCTGTACGGTTTCTTTCGGGCCTCGGTTTATCTAGAGTTTCCGAGGTTTCATCTGTAACATGGCCTACACCTACAACGGTACAATCACTGGACAAAATATCATCCATTCCAAAAAATCCAAAACTTGGAAATACCACCATTCCAATTGGAAATATGACCATTCCAATATTTGGAAAGGTCATATTTCCAAGCTTGGATTTGTTTGGATTTGTTTGGATTTGTTTGGAAATATTTGGATACAACATGTCATAATCATATCTGTTAAACGTTGTACAACTTTTGACCTTATGTGAGATTAGTAATGACATGAAAGTAAATAATTAAGAGTATTTTGGCACTATGTTCCACGAAAAAGACCAAATCATGAGCAAATTTAACTAAAAGAAATTCTGTCATTTAAAGTGGCTACTCTTTATATCTAATTTCTTATCTTCCTTGCCTATAATCATATGACATTGACTTTGAACTTTGAACAATTAAACAAATATTTTGTTTTCCCATACCGACTTACGGTTGTCGTAGAACAAAGACCGTTTCGAGAATATAGAGGGCCTCATTATTATAATTTGAACTAATATACATATGTACATAATAGTACTAGGTATAAATGAATTTTGATAAGTGTTCGTACAAGAATATGAAATGCGAATTATCTCGGAATTATGCGCAACACATAGGGCTGAAAATTGTATAATTGTTCTGGAACTATCTGACTGTAATTCAAAACAGGGAACAATATTTCGTCAAATGAATTATTGAGCCAGGAATGCAACGATTTAAATGCTGAAAAAATGAATAAACATATCTGGAACAGAGTTGACTGTTCATGTGGACAATTATATGCTACGTCTATTTCCAATGAAGTTTATCACCCCATGTTATAGCATTTGTTTCATATAAAAGATAGAAACCAAATAAATGGGACAATTAGTTGTTATGAATTAGCTTTACTTCTGTGACATATCACACAACTAAATGTGAATATGTTTATCAAATAATCAATTACAGTAAGTAACCTAGTGTCCTTATTTATACACAATTTAATTACGTATTGGGGTACACTATATAATACACATTTACACGGATTGATTTTTGTTGTTGACAATTTAATCATAACCCAAATCATACAAATCAAAGTGTGAAAGTAGTGACTAACTTTATGATCAAGGGTATAAATACTCAATTGTTTCTATTAATCCTAATAGTATAACAATAAACCCTGTGTATATACTGAGCATATTAAGATACATCCGGATCTACGACCGCAGCCATATAATCAATCAAGGAAAGTATATTAGATTGAATTACAAATGTGCTATCACTTAAACAAAATGTTCCGTTATCCACGTAAGCCTAAACCTGGGAGAAATAAAGTTGTGTTCTGTTCTGAAGACGCCGTCATGATTAGTTGGCGCCAGTCTAGACTGTCCAATCAACGTGAATATACAAACCGTGATGTTACTTGACCAGTTGATGACACCTGTCAAACTCAAAGTGCCCCTGGTCCTCCACCCACCATGTGTAATACTTTAGCGTACTTGATTGTTTAATTTGCAGTTATATCACTGTTAGGCTGAGTGATGAGAGAATACATTTTGTTGTTTTTGTAAATGATCGTTTCCATTTTCAACGTGGTAACCTTATAAGTGACTAACTGTTTTATCATGATGAAATGAAACATATTAAAATAATCAGAGGGACTGACGATCGCATTTTTCGCATAAATGTCATGCTCGCATTAATTTCATGATTTACTGAAGATAGATTTGAACATTTCTGAGCAACGATCATGTTTGGGTAAAGGAAGTAATCTTGTCTCCGCTTGCAATTGGATTCAGTTCCGAGATCGCAGCTTGACTGTTCGGTACGGCCGAAAGGCGGCATCCATGTTGTTCACGCTCCGCTGATCACGGGGCCTCATTTGTCTGTATTCTGCTTATGAGCCGGGATGCGCATGAAACACGGGTGTCAAAACGAATATATTTACCAATTATACGTACGGTCAATTAGCAAGTCCAAGAGACAATACCCTGGTTCTACCACCTTTAGGTGTAATTACGTCGCATGCCCCTGGTTCACGGTTCGTCTGATCTCCCGTCATAAAACCACGATGTTTATTTACCTGGAGCCTCCGACAGCGCCGACTTCCTGTGCCAAAATGATGTATCAAGATCACTGCCTAGAAGTCCATTCCCCTTACACGTACCCCAACCGCCACTCGTGTGCAACGCGTGACACACTCATTAGAGGGGGAACAAACTTTTGACCAAAGGAGGACCCGTCTTAAGCTGAACCTGGAGGTGGTAACAAGGAGAGAACATTTTGTTATCCTGACGAAAAATGATAATACACATGTATTTGCTAATGTCTCCTTTCTTTATGTGATTTTGTGGGAATAACATGAATACTGTTGTGTTTAAATAGATCTGTCTTGTTTTATACGACCATTGCTTCTAAATCCGATGGTGTTAAGATAATACATGGTCCTGGAACATGTTATTGCAATTAAAATGCTTTTATTGTGATTTGACATTAACCGTCTGTAGTACGACTTTCAGTGATAATATGTATGAGGTTTGGCGGCGCATTGTTTTTTTTGGACCCTAATTACTTTATGATGACTTGGACTCTTTATCTCAGCTCCATAGCCGTGAGGCTGGAAAAGAGCAGCATGTAATTAATGAGGGTGGGTTATATCATTGAGGATACACTTGAGGAGAGAATACTAATTACCGTACTACAGGAAGAGACCTGTAGACGTAAGCGCGGGGTTGTGTTTTAGCTGGCCGTTCGATAATGGCCGCCAGAGGAAGTGAGCTTTGACTGCGTCATCTAAAATAAATAGTAAGATACAGCAGTGTTATTTTCACGGGTCTGTTGAATAAACTCGCAGCGCTACAGTCAATGTATCTTCTACTTGATCCTTGATACATCATTTTGGCATTCACAATATATAGTATTTCAACGTACAAAGGAGCACTGATCTAAAGCAATTCCGCGGGAGTAGTTGTTACCTGTGCATCACTGTATTTTCCCAGTGAGTACCCGGATGATATAGCAGAAATCTAGACTTGTTCGCGACCTGTGCTCGCCATTCGTAAGCGCATTTTTATTGATAGTAGAAGGACGTATGGTCACATTGATCAACAAAAATGAAATACAGTTTTGGAAATGTAGGTACATTTGTGGGGAGCATCGGTAATGGTGCTTGTAAGTCACTTGCTTGGTAATTGTGCGATATTTGTGTACACTATTTTGACTTGCAACACTAAGTAAATATTTTATCTGAACATTGCTTATTTTACCGTGTGTATATGTTTACATTCAAAATGTAAACATATTTCACTAAGTAAATTTATTAAACGCCTAAATATTCAGTTTATTTTACAAATTAACTGAAAAATATGTCCATCTTTGTTAATATGATAACGAATTCCAAATATTTGTTTATGTTTAATATCATCATCAAGTACAGTTCTGTATTGTTGGGCTTCTTTTCTTAGCATAATTAATATATTGTGATGTGTTTAAGGTCTCTTGGTCGTCTTTATCATTTTTAGTCAGTCGGTTAAATAAATGAATGGATTATTCAGTCAATTTGTAAAATGACTGAAATATTTAGCTATTTAAAAAATTGCCTGAGTGAATCATATTTTACACATTGACTGTAACATATACACGCTTACAAAAGAAAATACTTGCGAAAACAACGTCTATCGCGCATCGAAAAACTTCCCAACCAAACGGAAAGGAACAAGAATGATTCTGTTCAAAGCTGCAGCGAATGAATGAAAACAAAATGCAAATATAATTATTACAACCTACCAAAGTTATAATGTATCCGGGAATATCAACATAAAGGAACAATATCCATTGCGTCTGCAGCTGTACAAAAATACTTATCCGATGTCAAATGTCTATGTGAGAATCAAATACTTTAATAATAATTATTTGGAAACAATATTTGGAATATATATGAAATATATTAAAATATTTAAATATATCGTTTTTAAACGTTATTTAAATGTATCGAATATTATAACCCGTGTTTGTTTCTTAACTGATCACTTAGTTTGTTTCAATTGTTTCACATAGGTGCCAAGTTTGCTGAGAAAGCCCACGTGACAACTATTTTTATAATGTCCTCGGTTCTTAAAAACATACATTGTGTTAAATAACAATGAACAACCAGTCAGTGTAATATCGGTTACTCTTTGAACAAAGTATGTTGTTTTTACATCTGTACTTCACGCCATGATATGAGTGTATTGCCTAGGTCTAGTAAACCTACCTTCACATGTAAACACTTACTTTTGACATATCCACTGTGCAAGATAACAGTAATTAATCAATCAACGTATTTCCTGTTGATCCTTTGATGTCTGGGAATGATCAGTTGATTTACAAAAAAGTAAAGCAACTGACCATACATCTCTTGCTGGGCTGCCACGTGCATATCACATAACTCACATTCCACCTCACTTCAAACCTGGATTTAGATTGAATAATTACCCCAGGTACAAGAAAGACCAAATTTGAACCTTTATAATCTGAGTGGTGCTACAACTAAGTATACATGTTATAAAGTCATTAACTGAGCAGCAAGTGAATTACGACAAATACACAAGT